GACCAGAGCCACCTGGGTGGCCAGAGCAGGGGCTGCTAGAGGGGACTTGCCACACGCCTGGGAAGCCCGCAGCCAGGGCGAATGCGGCCGGGCCAGGACGCGGCCCCGTCTCGCTGTCTGGGCAGCAGGGCCCGGCTGCTGACGGCTGCATGTCTCCTTGTGCAGAGTATTCCATCCCCGTGCACAAACACGTCTTCCCCTTGCTCTTCATGCTGGGCGTGCTCCTGTGGTCCCTGCTCGAGTACCTCATCCACCGCTTCCTCTTCCACATGAACCCGCCGGCCAGCAACTACTATCTCATCACGCTGCACTTCCTGCTGCACGGCCAGCACCACGGGGACTCGGGGCGGGGCCCCGCCAGCCTCCGGGGGGGAGGGGCACATTTCCCCGTGGCGAATGGAAACGCCTTCTCACCTGCGAGGGCTGCCGGCCCAGGCCTGCGACTCTCACGCACCCCGCGCAGGGTGCGGCGCGACCTCCCTTCTGCAACCCTTGTGATGGGGCGAGGCAGGAGCCTCCGCTCGGGTCTTGCTGGGGAACTAGAAATGGGGCGAGTGGATTGAACCAGTGGGCCCCAGCCCATGACAGAGGGGCTGGGTTCCTGGGGGGTAGGTTTGGGATCGGTGGCAAAGTAGCTTTAGGAGAGGCCACGGATGCTACGGCACGTTGCACCTCTCTAGACCAGCAACCTCTGGTCTGCAGCAGCCATGTAGCATGTGGCCAAGTTTCCCGTGGTCCTGTGAACCCACCAGGCCTAGCTCCCAGGCATCTGAGAGGCTGTTCCGTCTTCTAGGAGCCCAGTCAACAGGGGCAGCGTGGGTCATGCTGCTAGACAATCTGACCTCCCGTGGTCTGGCAAATTCTCTGGTTCAGCACCGGTCAGGTCCGGAGGGTGCTGGACTAGAGAGGTTCAGCCTGTAGAAGAACCGTAACCTCCCTAAAGATCCAAATCGGCTTCCTTGGGGAGCAGGCCAGCCCAGCCTGCCTAATGCCCCAGCAGGGTCCCAAAGCTCCCTCCTCCATCCCAGCTCCTTTGACCCATTTAGTGGCTCTGCTAGAGCTGGTGGTGGCCCCCGAGAGCTGAGGGTGGGGCGTGTGGAGCTCCTGAACCGATGGCACCTGCCTCCGTCGCCCGAAGCCCTTGGGTTCTGTGAACGTGCCGGGAACTCACCTGCCCGTCGTCCTTCTCTGCTTCCAGTCTCCGTTCGACAGCTCCCGCCTGGTCTTCCCTCCCGTGCCCGCGTCACTGGTGGTTGGCGCTTTGTACGGCCTCCTGCAGCTCCTCCTGCCTGCGGTCGTGGGCACGTCCATCTTCGTGGGCGGGCTGTTTGGCTACGTCGTCTACGACATGACTCACTACTACCTGCACTACGGCTCGCCGGAGAAAGGCACCTACCTGTACGGGCTGAAGGCTTATCACGTCAAGCACCACTTTGAGCACCAGAAGTCAGGTACCGGCGCCTCGCCCCTCCTTCCCGCCCTCCCCTCGGCGG